CGCCTCGGACAGGGCGGGGGTAAGGGGCACAGAGGTGGAGAGAAGAGGGAGGGGAGCTTTACATCTACGGTAGCTAGTATTAGTTGCACTACTCCACTACTGCTACCCAGCTGCTAACTTACACGGTGCACGGTTAAGTACAAAGGGAACTACTGGAGTTAGCAAAGGCTCCGACCGAGCACGCTCTAACTCCAATGTCTGCCCTGGGCTGTCCCAGGCAAGAAGCTTCTCTTCACAAGACTGTGTAGCTGCAAAACAAACGTAAGCATTAAAATAATAACAAAAAAACCCACAACCAACCAACAACAAAACAAAAAACAAAACAAACAAAAAAAACACACCACAAAAACAAAACCAACAAACCAAAAAGGAACAAAACCAAACAAAGCAAAATAAAAAACAACAAAGAAGTACAAACACACATACAGCCCCAACCCCGTCTGGCACACAAGAGACATCCACATCCCAGCAACCTCTATGCACTCTCCTGCCTCTGTCACACATCAGCCCAGAGGGGACCACCCAGGCACTGGTGCAGGAGGGACACCCCTCAGAGCATAGCTGGAATTGCACTAATGTTGCTGGAGGGTGACATAAAACTGGTTGGAGTAGTGACAGAGCAGCACGAGGGCAAGTACGAGAACGCGAATGAAAGGGAAAGGAAGCAGGGCATCCAAATCACTGCAAATCTCAACGCAGAGGGGGGCGGGAGAATGCTGTCCCACTTGGCAGAGAAGTGATCCGGCACTCCTCAGTGTACCAAGGAGGGCCTTGCTACGAGCAAGAGGAAGGAATTACTAAGAAGGCAGAGATGGACAGTTCACAGCAAAGAGGACTTCAGAAGAGATAATTTCCCTTCCGTTCTAGCTGGGCAAAACACCCTTCCGCTTGCATGTCATGAACAAGCAGTTTGACGTCCTTAGAGCTACATAAAAAATGAGTAAGAGAGAGGCTCCGACTGCTGCATTGTAATGAGATACTAGTGCTGTGTGCAGGAAACTAGGGAAGGAAGACAGGAGGAGACAGAAGAGGGCATGCCTGTTTCGTCCAGACTGACCTGATCAGAATAAAATACTCCAGATGTTCTCAACTCACACGAAGGATCCTTCCACTATAGCTTTAAACAGTCAGGCAACTTGCACAGTACGTCTGTGTAGGGGAAAGGCTGGGAATCCCACCGAGGTTTTCCCCAACCTGCTAGTTCTCTCCATGTCCATTCTGAGTTTTTCAGCCACAGGCTCCTCTATGGAGGCAGCCAATTCAGGAGTGATCAGGCAGATGGTACTATAACTGGCAGACTAACCATGGTACTAGCTAACTGAGCTAGCAAGATAGACATGCAAGGTAAAGCTCACAACAGAGAAGTGCCACGCAGAGCCAACATTATCCACAGATTTTCACTCAGAGCATGTGACAGTGGATTCAGAAATATTAAGGAGTCTTCCAGCAGCCACCTCCTCCCTTCCAAAGCATCTTTGAATCAGTCTGTAAAATCTGTTTTTAGTTGCTTTCATACTTCATGAGCAGCATCCATGTCTGAGGTGCTCAGAAGTGCTCAACAAATGAGACTTAATTCAGTCTTGCACCACTGACCCCATTTACCACAAAGGAAACTAAGAGATGTAGTGACTTGCCCAAGGAGACCCTGAGAGGCAGTGCCTCAGCAGAACTCCACATCTCACCCAGATGAAAGCAAGGAAATAAAATTATCTAGGATGAGGTTCTGGGTTGGGTGGGGGTTTTAGGTTTTTTTTTGTTTGGTTGGTTTGTTTGGTTCCCCCCCCC